TTAAAGAGGCTCGTAGACAGAAGGTTAAAGAGGCTCGTAGACAGAAGGTTAAAGATGCTCGTAGACAGAAGTTTAAAGATGCTCGTAGACAGAAGGTTAAAGAGGCTCGTAGACAGAAGGTTAAAGAGGCTCGTAGACAGAAGGTTAAAGAGGCTCGTAGACAGAAGGTTAAAGAAGCTCATAGACAGAAGGTTAAAGATGCTCGTAGACAGAAGGTTAAAGAGGCTCGTAGACAGAAGGTTAAAGAGGCTCGTAGACAGAAGGTTAAAGAGGCTCGTAGACAGAAGGTTAAAGAAGCTCGTAGACAGAAGGTTAAAGAGGCTCGTAGACAGAAGGTTAAAGAGGCTCGTAGACAGAAGGTTAAAGAGGCTCGTAGACAGAAGGTTAAAGAGGCTCGTAGACAGAAGGTTAAAGAGGCTCGTCGCAGACGTGACAAGCTTACTGCACAGAAATGAGAAGAGTTGTTTAAAAAGCATTACAAAACCCAAGAAGTAAAAAATACATTAAAGTGTTACACTATTCTCAGTTTTAAAAAAAAATGTCGCTTTTTTCTCAGTTGTAAATATAATGAGTGGCCCTGACTTTCCTGCTGCTTCTTCCCCCCTTTCCCGCAACCTCAAGTGTGCTTGAGTCCTCGCCTCTTTCACAACATCAGGGTTGCTCTTTGTCGCTGTCCAAAGAATTCTAAAGATTTTTCTGTAAAACCTATCTCCGAGACCTCCAGAAATGGTTGGGCTTGTTTATGAATTGTCCAGGATTCACAGCTAAAATATGGAAGTATAGCTTTAGAACCAAGTTACGTATGTTCACTCCTACAGTTACTTTATTTTCAACATACGGCAGCGAAGAAAACATAGAAATAAAATTTTTGGACTGACTGACTGACTGGTAGCTGGACATCACACAAGCGATAAACACCAGATGACACAAAGTGCTACGATGTGGATGAGGATCACAGTGGAGAGATCCCAGAAACCGCTTTCAGCCGATTGGTCATATTTATGACCTGGCTATATTGCGGCCCCTGGCAAGAGCCAGGTTGGGGCTTCAAATAACGAAAAATTTTATCCTAAAAAGGACGTGAATAGCAAAAGTTAGGCAATGTTTGGGCAACCACTTGTATCAACAAACATAGGATAGAGACAATGTTGCTGTATTGGACACATCCTGGCATCAAACATAGGACAGAGAAGATGTTGCTGTACTGGACACATCCTGGCATCAAACATAGGACAGAGAAGATGTTGCTGTACTGGACACATCCTGGCATCAAACATAGGACAGAGAAGATGTTGCTGTACTGGACACATCCTGACAACAAACATAGGACAGAGAAGATGTTGCTGTATTCGACACATCCTGACAACAAACATAGGACAGAGAAGATGTTGCTGTACTGGACACATCCTGGCAACAAACATAGGACAGAGAAGATGTTGCTGTATTGGACACATCCTGACAACACACATTTGACAGAGAAGATGTTGCTGTACTGGACACATCCTGGCAACAAACATAGGACAGAGACGATGTTGCTGTATTGGACACATCCTGGCAACACACATTTGACAGAGAAGATGTTGCTGTACTGGACACATCCTGGCAACAAACATAGGACAGAGACGATGTTGCTGTATTGGACACATCCTGGCAACAAACATAGGACAGAGACGATGTTGCTGTATTGGACACATCCTGACAAACAAACATAGGACAGAGAAGATGTCGCTGTATTGGACACATCCTGACAACAAACATAGGACAGAGACGATTTTGCTGTATTGGACACATCCTGACAAACAAACATAGGACAGAGAAGACGTCGCTGTATTGGACACATCCTGACAACAAACATAGGACAGAGACGACGTCGCTGTATTAGACACATCCTGACAACAAACATAGGACAGAGACGACGTCGCTGTATTAGACACATCCTGACAACAAACATAGGACAGAGACGACGTCGCTGTATTAGACACATCCTGACAACAAACATAGGACAGAGACGACGTCGCTGTATTAGACACATCCTGACAAAAAACGAGCAGGGAATCACCAAACAAACGCTGAAATGTAAACAGAAGGATTTGGGAAACCAAGACGCTCACAGGAAACCCTCAGGAGAAGGTAGATGAGAGAGGCCAAAGTGCTGGACTGGTTTCCTACCGTGATGTCCGAGGGAATGTGAGGATATAACCGAATGGAGGGATAGACTGCGAGCCCTGTATGATTTATAAAGAAACATGACAATGAGGATGATCTCTGCTAAAAATTGATACATTATGGAGAAACAAAAGTTGGCACCTTTCTGTCTGCACGGACTATGCTAGTGGATAATGTCTTATCTCTGACACTAACACTATTGCATGACATAGGAATAAAGCATGACGAAGCACGCCACCTCTGTTTTCGATGTCGAGATAAAAGACAGTATAACCACCATTTTTCATTGAAACAATTAGTAGAAGTACCTTAGAGTGGCTGCTGCATCGAAGGACTGAGCACGCATGGGAATGCCCATAGTGCAGTGGCGTCGACTGTGATAACACAACTTTCTTTCTTTCCCGACGAGTGTTCCAGTGTTCCATGTGGCGAAGGTTTGTGAATCACATCCCATGGCGATGGCGAGTGTGACTGTCAAGACCAACTCACATTAGGAAAAATCTTCCACAATTAGTGCTTTAGATTTCAGAACCATTTTACTTGCCAATTCATATCCACCCAGTTTCAACCTTTCTGCAGTTCTTTTAACCGTTGTCATTGTTGTAGTTTCTCTGCTGTTATCTTTCCTATTTGTTTTTAGTCTATTTCGATTTTTATTGCAAAATCTTCCATAATAGTATTGTCTTAACGTAGTTTTTCTAATGTTGTTTCTGTTTTTTTTTTTTGTCGGCAGGTAAAAGGTGTCTAGCTCAATTTCCTGTTTAACCTTTCTTTGAAAATTGACTTTCTACACAGTAAACTCTCTCTATTCCACCCCCCCCCTCCCCCGCGATGAGTAGTACTTTTACAAGAGAGAGAGAGAGAGAGAGAGAGACAAAGAGACAGAAGAGAGAGAGAGAGAGAGAGAGAGAGAGAGAGAGAGAGAGAGAGAGAGAGAGAGAGAGAGAGAGAAGGGGACAGACAGACAGATGAACAAATACATCTGTAATAAATACAAACTCTGAATTCGTATGAAGTTCTGAACATTTGTATTCGGGACAACCATTGAAACATAATATTATTAATAATAATAATAATAATAAAAAGAAATCTAAAATGATAATATTGCAACATTTTAGTTTGAGCATGTGACTGTCTATGAGATGGGTAAGCTAAGACTGGGTTCATCATCCTCATGTAGCGGGTCCTTTGCAGAACGTCGCTCTCATCACAGTCTGCCTGAACGAAACTCGGTCTCTCGCCAGTTCTCCCGCCTCATGCACTTTCACACTCAAGGAGTCACTTATATCATGTGCCCATCTTCGTGTCGGTCGGCCTCTGCCCCTCCTTCCTGGTACCATGCCTTCTGCTATAGTTTTTTCCAATCCGTTGTGGCGCTTGATATGACCACAATATTTCAGCTTCCGAGAAAGGATGCTGTTTATTAGCCAGTCTTCCTTGATGTTCAGAACTGGGTTACAACCAATATATACAGTGTATGAAGGTATCACAAAACATGGCAACAGCAATTATAGGCAGCGCCAGGTATTTAAGGTCGCGGAGGTCAGAAGGACACAGAGCAGAACCTCATATCTACCTCGACACCCCAGGCCGTAAAAGAGGGAGTTAAGAAGAAGAAGAAGAAGAAGAGGGAGGAGGAGAAGAAGAAGGAGGAGGAGAAGAAGAAGAAGAAGAAGGAGGAGGAGAAGAAGAAGAAGAAGAAGAAGAAGAAGAAGAAGAAGAAGAAGAAGAAGAAGAAGAAGAAGAAGAAGAAGAAGAAGAAGAAGAAGAAGAAGAAGAAGAAGAAGAAGAAGAAGAAGAAGAAAGAAGAAGAAGAAGAAGGAGGAGGAGGAGAAGAAGAAGAAGAAGAAGAAGAAGAAGAAGAAGAAGAAGAAGAAGAAGAAGAAGAAGAAGAAGAAGAAGAAGAAGAAGAAGAAGAAGAAGAAGAAGAAGAAGAAGAAGAAGAAGAAGAAGAAGAAGAAGAAGATGAAGAAAAAGAAGAAGAAAAAGGAGGAGGAGGAGAAGAAGAAGAAGGAGAAAGAAAAGAAAAAGAAGAAGAAGAAGAAGAAGAAGAAGAAGAAGAAGAAGAAGAAGAAGAAGAAGAAGAAGAAGAAGAAGAAGAAGAAGAAGAAGAAGAAGAAGAAGAAGAAGAAGAAGAAGAAGAAGAAGAAGAAGAAGAAGAAGAAGAAGAAGAAGAAGAAGAAGAAGAAGAAGAAGAAGAAGAAGAAGAAGAAGAAGAAGAAGAAGAAGAAGAAGAAGAAGAAGAAGAAGAAGAATAATAATATTAATAATAATAATAATAATAATAATAATAATAATAATACTAAGAAGAAGAAGAAGAAGATGAAGAAGAAGAAGAAGAAGAAGAAGAAGAAGAAGAAGAAGAAGAAGAAGAAGAAGAAGAAGAAGAAGAAGATAAAGAAGAAAAAGAACAGACAAAGAAGAAGACGAAGAAGAAGAAGAAAAAGAAGGAGACGAAGAAGAAGATAAAGAAGAACCAACACCACGGACGCCCACGAACAATCAAACCAAAGACTTGACACGCTGACAGTGGAGACCTTGCCACCTCAAGATGCTGACTGCTTAAACAAAACACGAAACTCAAAGTTTTATTCACATTCCCACAACAGAAAATATCCGGCACCATTGACGACTCCAAGCTTGCCGTCCTTTCTGTGACCGATGCCTGAACATATGAACAGCAAACGTAGATAGTCGAAGAAGAAGAAGAAGTCTCACAATTCAGGTAGTCAAGTAAAAATACATTGCAACTGCTCAAACTGTTAGTGCTGAGACATGTTCCATAGTCTTCGCTATGTGTGTGTGTGTGGTTCAGTTTAAGGTCGAAGGTTGATTTAAATAGATAAAGCTGCTTCTTCGATTTGAACGTACAGGTGCTTGACTCCAACCTGCAACAGTAAGTCATCGAGTTGTAGGAAACGGTCAATGTGTGGTGACTGAGTGTATGTGTGTGGGGTTAGATGCGTGAGAGTCTGAGAGATGACAGATTAACAGACCGACAGGCGGACGGACGGATAGACTGATACAGACAGACACATATTCAGATAAAGGATGTGTGTGTTTGTGTATATAAAGTATACACATAAACTGATGAAGTAAATTTAACATAGATCACATGCATCATAAAAACATTGATCACAGACTGAAATGTCAACTCTTTGAGTCCCAAGAAACGCATCATACGTTCATCGGTTCCTACCTAGAAGCCCAATGAACGCATGATGTGCTAATTTATTACGTTTTTCACTACCCCCTGGGCCTGTGATGCTAAACCCCCTGGGACTCAAAGAGTTAAACATATAGAGAGAATGGCAGTTGACAGAAGGGCAAAAACTGACTAGGCAAGTTAAGTGGCCGTTGACCACGAGGCAGACCAAGAAGACGATGGAGAGATAATATTCAGGCTGACCTGAAAACACGCAGAGTCCCTAAATGTAAATTGAAGTCCAATGCAGGTTAGTGATATCTGCAACTATAAACCTCAATGGTTCAGGGCGAAGAAGAAGAAGAAGAAGAAGAAGAAGAAGAAGAAGAAGAAGAAGAAGAAGAAGAAGAAGAAGAAGAAGAAGAAGAAGAAGAAGAAGAAGAAGAAGATCGAACACAGAGATGAATGGAGGCTGGTGATATCTGCAACTATAAACCTCAAGGGTTCAGGGCTCTGAAGGAGGTCAGTCACAGAGATGACTGGAGGCTAGTGATATCTGCAGCTATGAATCTCAAGGGCTCGGCATGTTCAACAAGAAGACACACAAGCAAAGGAGTGTTTTTAACGATGACATGATCACAGGGGCACTAGCCTCATAGAAGATGAGACGAGTCCGGTGAAGAATGTCCTGACTGTCCGCGTCAGGCTCCACCTCCAGTTTCAAGGCGCCCACATAGACGTCGCTGCACAGTGTCCAGAAGTGAGGCTGCTGTATGCTGCACACCCCATCTAAGCTACTAACCTGGCACAAGAGAAAACAGCGTTAGTGAAACCTTTGTTTTCACGTCCATCTTCTTCTTTCTCCACATGATGTAAGCTCTGGTGAAAAGACCTGGTTCGTCCTCCAGAGAAGAAGAAGAAGAAGAAGAAGAAGAAGAAGAAGAAGAAGAAGAAGAAGAAGAAGAAGAAGAAGAAGAAGAAGAAGAAGAAGAAGAAGAAGAAGAAGAAGAAGAAGAAGAAGAAGAAGAAGAAGAAGAAGAAGAAGAAGAAGAAGAAGAAAAAGAAGAAGAAGAAGAAGAAAAGAAGAAGAAGAAGAAGAAGAAGAAGAAGAAGAAGAAGAAGAAGAAGAAGAAGAAGAAGAAGAAGAAGAAGAAGAAGAAGAAGAAGAAGAAGAAGAAGAAGAAGAAGAAGAAGAAGAAACAGAAGTGTGGCAAAGACGACCCTGCCACCTTTATAATTTCAAAAATGAGAATAAAAACAAATAATATGCTGTATCTGTTATTAATACGTTGGTCTCCCCATTTATACACCGGTACACACTAGCTCGCTTCTGATTGGTCGACCTCCAGTCAACCTTTCACACAAGGTCGCGGGGCTATTCCGCACTGGCGTTGAAATAGTGTGTTGTATATTTCACCATGCCAGAGCTTTTAACATTATAAAAACATTTAAATACTTGGTCTCACATACCCCGCCCCCACCCCCCTAGATTGACGAAACCGCGACACCCATAATCTCGACCACGGTAAACTAGTCTAATAAACTTATCAATGGAGTTGACCTACATTCGGTGGGAAGACTAACGTATTGAGAACCGCTGTATCTTTCACGCACTCACTAGACAATTCTTAACAACACACAATAGAAAAAAAAAAATTCCTTAACATGTGCTGTTCATGTTTCCAGGCCTAGGATTAGAGTAACTTCTCTTGTCATTCATGCCTCCTTGGGTCTCTGGACTTCTCCTACTTTGCCACGGAGTCCTTTTTTCCTTACTGTGAACAGTGTAACCGTTGCCCGCTTGCGTCGCGATGGTTCGGGAGTATAGAAACAGCGATATTTTTCTATTCCTCTGCTCCTTGTAACTGCTTTTGTTCTCCCTCCCTCTGGGGTGGGGGAGGATGAACATCTTTTGTAAAAAAAAAAAAACTGAAGGGAAAATCTTCTCTAAAAAAAATTGAAGGGAGAATCTTTTGTATAAAAATAAAAAAAAAACTGAAGGGAGAATCTTTTGTAAAAACTGAAAGGAAAATCTTTTGTGAAAACTGAAAAGAAAATCTTTTGTAAAAACGGAAGGGAATCTTTTGTAAAAACTGAAAGGAAAATCTTTTGTAAAAACTGAAGGGAAAATCTTTTGTAAAAACTGAAAGGAAAATCTTTTGTAAAAACTGAAGGAAAAATCTTTTGTAAAAACTGAAGGGAAAATCTTTTGTAAAAACTGAAGGGAAAATCTTTTGTAAAAACTGAAGGGAAAATCTTTTGTTTAAAAATTAAACAACTGAAATGAAAATCTTTTGTAAAAACGGAAGAGAGAATCTTTTGTAAAAACTGAAAGGAAAATCTTTTGTAAAAACTGAAGGGAAAATCTTTTGTAAAAACTGAAAGGAAACATTTTTCCGTAAAAACTTGGAAAATCTTTTGTAAACAAATTAAAGGGAAAATCTTTGGTAAACAAATTAAAGGGAAAATCTTTGGTTAAAAAAAATTAGTAAAGACGGCCGGTGTAATACCTACCACATTACCCACCTAGTGCTGATTGGTCTGTAAAAATGTGAAAGCTCTTCCCATATTCCCTAAAAATATTTTTTGTCTTCTTCTTCTTATTCTTTTTCTTCTTTTTCGCGCGCGCGTGTGTGTGCGTGTTCTACAGAAACTGACGGGAAAATCTTTAAAATCTGAAGGGAAGTGTCTCTGAAGAATGAAAGAAATACATAACCTTAACCTAAAAGCTGGATATCTTTTCAGACATGACCTTGACTCCCAGGTCGACCCAGCCTTACCCCCGTGTGGGTTCCGGGGCCCCATTGTGGGGAAAACAAGAATAGACCCACTGCCTCCCAAAAGCATGTCGTAAGAGTCGATTAATTGGGGAGCTTCCTTTAAAGTCGGAGTGCATCTGCCGGAGAGGCAAGGAACCAACAGTCTGTATTCAAGAGAATGAGATCTGTAAAACTGATGCACACGCAACACTCAGGTTCTGGAGCAGGACTGCAGTTCAGTAGTGGACGAGCAACCAGAACTTTCCGCCAGAGTGTACAGCTGGTTAACGCGAAGAAGAAGAAGAAGACCCAGCCTTAAACGGGTACCAGGTACATTCCTAAAGGCAGCAGGCGTGATGTCGACGGGATCACCCACCAAGTGCAGACCGGTATATAAAATATAAGTCTAGCCCTATATGCCCAATACGCTTGAAAGTGTGGAAAAGGATCCTTTACTTCCTTTTTCTGGCTGTGTATTTTGATATTTTAGTAAAGGTAAATCGGGAGACGTGAATCAGCGTCATTGCACACGGTTACGAACCCTAAGTGCTCTGCCACCAGTACGGACAGCTGATAAGAAACCGTCTGCCTGTGTCGCCGTCCGCACGCAACTCCGTAGCTGCAGCGACGTTCCTCCATTTACCCAAAAGTGTCAACTCTGGTACCCATTTTCTAGATCCTGGGTGAACCCCGGGTTTCGAACACCGGCTGTGGGCTGCAGCAAGTCGCAGCCGGATTTGAAATCGAGTCTCCTATCGACTGCGCTAACGCGGCCCGCTTTGATATTCTGATGTCTTTACGTATTAATTAAGCTAATACAAACGAACGAAATGTGGAATACCCTATCATAACAGCGGGGCAGCACTTCATCTAGTGCCACTGGTGTTCTCTGCATCAAGATACCCATCGACTCCTGCAGTAGTGGAATCACGCTGAAACAGTTTCAGATTGGAAACACATTTAAAGTTACATTCGAGGACATTCACTTCGTTGTTCTGGGGGTTTATCAGACAATGTTCGCCTCTATCTGCCGAGTGCGTCTCATAAAGCACGGGCTCCCTAGCTCTTGCAATGATCTCTAGGGATCTACAATATTATTGTACACATGAACCTTCAGAGCGCGAGACTAACGGCTTCACCAAGGAAGGACCGCCCGCCCCTTTTCTCCAGTAACATCTAGAAGAAAACCACGACTACAAAAACTACTACAACTACTACTACTTCTTCTTCTTCTTCCTCCTCCTCTTCTTCTTCCTCTTCTTCTTTTTCTTCTTCTTCCTCTTCTTCTTTTGCTTTGTCTGTTTCTTCTTCTTCATCTTCTTCCTCTTCTTCTTTTTCTGCTGCTGCTTCTTCTTCTTCTTCTTCGTCTGCCATCTATCCCCCGGTGGGGCATAGGCCCTCAACCAACTCACGCCAAGTCATTCTATCTTCACTGTTGCATGCAACTCATCCCGTATCCTTTAATCTTTTTAACTTAATTTTCTAGCTCCTTCTCCATGTGTTTTTTTTTTTGTCTGCCTTTATTTCTCTGCATCTGTGGGTTCCAGTGCAGAGACATTTTAGTTATATTGTTCTCAGTGTTTCTCAAAGCGTGTCCTATTCAAAGCCAGCCTCTTTTCTTCACCTCTTGGTCTACTGAAACTTGTTTAATTCACTTCCAAAGCTCCACATAAGTGATTCTATCACAACACTCAGTTCCCTCTATTCTGTGCAGGCAGCAGTTAATGCATGTCTGTAGTTTATTAGTATATCAGTTCTTCAATAATCGGACTCCAGATTATCCGACTTACTTTAAAATAATTTTTGTTAATGAAATAAGGAATATTTTACTTTGTCAGGTTGCTGGAAGCGTTGTGGTTTTTTTTTTTTCTTTTAAATCTCGCAGTTAAGTTAGACATTAAACATTTTATCTTTAATTGCGAACAACGTTTTCCTTTTAACTTTCTTTTTCCGTTATAAAGTTAAAAACGTACAGCACATAAGAAATATTTATAACGTTTCCCCGTGTGGGTTCCAGATCCCCATTGTGGGCAAAACAAGAACAGACCCACTGCCTCCCCAACAAGCATGTCGTAAGAGTCGACTAATTAAGTGCTTCCTTCGAAGTCGGAGTGCATCTGTCTGGCTTTTGTTATCCAGTCTGACAAGCCGCCACATTGGGCTGGACAGTGCAGAATCTACTGGAATTGTTTTAATTGATCACCACTTTCTAGAGCCCATGAGTAATAATAATATTTTTAAAAACAGTTTGTTCAACGTTAGTCCCCCCAAACAAAGTAGGTCACGTTCCATTGATAACTTTGTTGGACTGATCTACTTTCCTGGGAGTTTAGGTATGCCTCTCTGATGTTTGCTTTCTGGCTTGTTTTGCATTTAGGTTTTTATTTCGAGAAAGAGAATGCCTGTGACATAAGTTGCAGCACTATCTAGGGGGGTTGTGTGTTATACTCAGTTTGTCCATGTTTTTGTAGTGTTAAAAGCGCTGGCGTGCTGAAATACACAACACGCGATATTAACGGCATTGTAGAATACCCCCGTAGCAGTGTGCGAAAGGCGCGCGGCTCAGGAACTACCAATCAGAAGTGAGTTAGTGTGTATATGGGCGGGCTCTGGGGGACTAACGTGGAACTAAAAAACAAGCTTAGTATCACAATCCAGATACGCATGTGGCGTGAAAAGTGTGGTTTACTTTCATTTACTCACGATAGGACAATCCTTAAACAACAGAACAAGTGTACCTCAGGATGACCAGTGCGGATATAAACATGGAGCAGATAGGATCAGCGATGACCCAGCCGAACCAGTTGATGAGGGTCGAGGAGACGATGACTCCTATACTGCCCAGAGCATCAGCCATTATGTGCAGGTACACACCTGAAAGGTCACAAGTTCATGTTTGTAAGTTAGTTAATGGACAGATTATTTTCCTTGCATCCTTTAGTCCATAAGTGCTCATATCCCCCTTCAGTATCTCCCTCAGCGTGTGGTGGCTTATGACACCATTTCTGATGTGGTTTACTATTCTTCTTTGGATCCCTGTGTAGCGCTCTTGTCTGGCTTCACCCATTTTGAGGTTATGTTCGTGTGTTCTCGGCAATGTTGCACACCATAATCATTACTTGATTCGTTTAATCGAGCTGCCTTTCTGAGGGCATTCCATGTAATGACCCGTAAGCGACTGTCTCCGCAGGTAGCGTCCGCGCCAGTCATATGAGATCATTCATTCAGTTTGTAAGTAACAAGTAAAAGTCATGGATCCTTTCCCATACCTTCTAGCGTTCTGGGCATATAGGGCTAGATTTATATTTTATAGACAAGTCAGCACTCGGGGGGTGATGTGGTCAACAGTCTTTACCTTCCCAGGACTTTCCCTGGTACCCATTAACTCTTTGAGTCCCAGAGGGTTTAGCATCACAGGCCCAAGGGGGAGTCAAGAGAGACGTACAATCGGCGCATTATGCGTTTATTGTACGTCTAGAAAGTAACCTATGACCGTATGATGCGTTCCTTGGGACTCAAAGAGTTAAAGGTTGGGTCAACCTGGGAGTCAAGGTCATTTTTGGAATAAAACCGGTTCCGTCAGGGCCTGAACCCCACGACCTTCCGATGAGCAGACGAGCGTCTAGCCTCTACACTGCGACGGCTCCCGTTCATGTTTGTACTAGGACAAATGGAACTGCATCAACGATTTCAACTATTTTTAATGCCGTCTGTACAACTAGTCAGCTCTGTGGCTAAGTCGATGCAAACGCTCCGTAATGCCGGGTTCGATCCCAGCTGCGGGCCATGCGCCTTGCGTTGGTTTCGACAGTGGTATCAAGATAGCCGGCTGTCGAGAAAGCAGTGGCAAACTACTGGACGTCAATTTGCCTAAAAAAATCACACAGCAGCCAGGGGCTGTTGGGGTTGGTTCTGCAACGTCCTGTAAAGGATACGCAACTAACCTGTACAACTGAGAATGGCTGCAACAGATATATGCAGCAGCAACTTCTCCCTTTGACCTCCCACCTTTTCCCTAGAGTAGAGCTCTTCGACTAACCCAGGCCACATTTTCGTAGCCTGTGTTAATGTCGCGCACAACACACCTCTTACTGTTCACCTCATTTCTGTCATCTTGTTTTGTGTTCACCCTATAAAAAGAAAGGGAGTCTGTCACGCCATTTTGTTGTTTACAGCAAGGCTGCGATATCAGCGTCTTTTGGTCTAACATATCCTATTTCAGCAACTACTTATTGCCTTTTACGACACGCTTGTTACGAAGCAAAGGGTCTAAGGTGGTGGTAAAGTGTCAGAGAAATGTGATATATCAAATAATCTGAATGTCAGACATGGTTAATGATAGCAGAAGATAATGTGATGATACTAGAAGAGAGGTCTGAACAACAGAAGGTAAACAGAACAGGTTACAGGAGCTGGCAGGTTACAGGAGCTGGCAGGTTACAGGAGCTGGCAGGTTACAGGAGCTGGCAGGTTACAGGAGGTTACTGGGTAAGCTGAAGGTCACAGAAGGTAACCGAGGGTAACAGAAGGAAAGCTGAGGGTAACAGAAGGTAACAGAGGGTAACAGAAGGTAAGCTGAAGGTAACATAAGGTAACAGAGGGTAACAGAAGGTAAGCTGAGGGTAACAGAAGGTAAGCTGAGGGTAACAGAAGGTAAGCTAAAGGTAACAGAAGGTAAAGTGAGGGTAACAGAAAGTAACAGAAGCTAAGCTGAGGGTAACAGAAGGTAAGCCGAGGGTAACAGAAGGTAAGCTGAGGGTAACAGAAGGTAACAAAGGGTAACAGAAGGTAGGCTGAGGGTAACAGAAGGTAAACTGAGTGTAACAGAAGGTAACAAAGGATAACAGAAGGTAAGCTGAGGGTAACAGAAGGTAAACTGAGGGTAACAGAAGGTAAGCTAAAGGTAACAGAAGGTAAAGTGAGGGTAACAGAAGGTAAGCCGAGAATAACAGAAGGTAAGCTGAAGGTAACAGAAGGTAAGCTGAAGATAACAGAAGTTAAGCTAAAGGTAACAGAAGGTAAGCTGAAAGTAACAGAAGGTAAGCTGAGGGTAACAGAAGGTAAGCTGAAGGTAACAGAAAGTAAGCTGAAGGTAAGCTGAAGGTAACAGAAGGTAAGCTGAAGGTAACAGAAGGTAAGCTGAGGATAACAGAAGGTAAGCTGAAGGTAACAGAAAGTAAGCTGAAGGTAACAGAAGGTAAGCTGAAGGTAACAGAAGCTAAGCTGATGATAACAGAAGGTAAGCTGAAGGTAACATAAAGTAAGCTGAAGGTAACAGAAGGTCAGCTGAATGTAACAGAAGGTAAGCTGAGGATAACAGAAGGTAAGCTGAAGGTAACAGAAGGTAAGCTGATAATTTAGGAAAAAAGAAGGTAACATTCAGAGATCTATGGTAGTAAGCGTCGTTTGAATATTTTCCGCCTCTCTGTTGCTGTCAGCAAAAGGTAAACCATGTGTCAAGAACAGCAAGAGGTAAGCTGAGGACTGACAGCAAGAGGTAAGCTGTGAGTTGGGGACAGCAGAAGGCAAGCTAATGGTCGAGGGCAGCAAAAGGTAAGCTGAGGTCTGACAGCAAAAGGTAAGATGATGGTTCAGGAAAAAGGACGATAATTTGAGGATAACAGAAAAATACTCTGAAGACCGAAGACAAGAGAACACAGTCATCCGAAGGCAATGAGAACACATTTATCCGAAGACAATGAGAACACATTCATCTGAAGACAATGATAACACATTCATCCGAAGACAATGAGAACACAATCATCCGAAGACAATGAGAACACAAACATCCGAAGACAATGAGAACACAAACATCCGAAGACAAAGAGAACACAATCATCTGAAGACAATGAGAACATAATCACCCAAAGACAATGAGAACACAATCATCCGAAGACAATGAGAACACAATCATCTGAAGACAATGAGAACACAATCATCCGAAGACAATGAGAACACAAACATCCGAAGACAAAGAGAACACAATCATCTGAAGACAATGAGAACACAATCACCCAAAGACAATGAGAACACAATCATCCGAAGACAAAGAGAACACAATCACCCAAAGACAAAGAGAACACAATCATCTGAAGACAATGAGAACACAATCACCCAAAGACAATGAGAACAAAATCATCCGAAGACAAAGAGAACACAATCACCCAAAGACAATGAGAACACAATCATCCGAAGACAATGAGAACACAGTCATCTGAAGACAATGAGAACACAATGACCTAAAGACAATGAGAACACAATCACCCGAAGACAATGAGAACACAATCATCCGAAGACAATGAGAACACAATCACCCAAAGACAATGAGAACACAATTATCCGAAGACAATGAGAACACAATCACCCAAAGACAATGAGAACACAATCATCCGAAGACAATGAGAACACAATCACCCAAAGACAATGAGAACACAATCATCCGAAGACAATGAGAACACAATCACCTAAAGACAATGAGAACACAATCACCCGAAGACAATGAGAACACAATCACCCAAAGACAATGAGAACACAATCATCCGAAGACAATGAGAACACAATCATCCGAAGACAATGAGAACACAATCATCTGAAGACAATGAGAACACAATGACCTAAAGACAATGAGAACACAATCACCCGAAGACAATGAGAACACAATCATCCGAAGACAATGAGAACACAGTCATCTGAAGACAATGAGAACACAATCATCCAAAGACAATGAGAACACAATCACCCGAAGACAATGAGAACACAATCACCCAAAGACAATGAGAACACAATCATCCGAAGACAAAGAGAACACAATCATCCAAAGACAATGAGAACACAATCATCCGAAGACAATGAGAACACAATCATCCAAAGACAATGAGAACACAATCATCCGAAGACAAAGAGAACACAATCATCCAAAGACAATGAGAACACAATCACCCAAAGACAATGAGAACACAATCATCCGAAGACAAAAAGAACACAATCATCCAAAGACAATGAGAACACAATCACCCGAAGACAAAGAGAACACAATCATCCAAAGACAATGAGAACACAATCACCCAAAGACAATGAGAACACAATCATCCGAAGACAAAGAGAACACAATCATCCAAAGACAATGAGAACACAATCATCCAAAGACAATGAGAACACAATCACCCAAAGACAATGAGAACACAATCATCCGAAGACAAAGAGAACACAATCATCCAAAGACAATGAGAACACAATCATTCGAAGACAAAGAGAACACAATCATCCAAAGACAATGAGAACACAATCATCCGAAGACAAAGAGAACACAATCATCCGAAGACAAAGAGAACAAATCCTCCAAAGACAATGAGAACACAATCATCCGAAGATAATGAGAACACAATCATCCGAAAACAATGAGAACACAGTCATCTGAAGACAATGAGAACACAATGACCTAAAGACAATGAGAACACAATCACCCGAAGACAATGAGAACACAATCACCCAAAGACAATGAGAACACAATCATCCGAAGACAATGAGAACACAATCCTGCCAATGATAATTTTATTCTGAGACATTCTTACCTTGAACGATCTCAGACGAGGAAGTAGGAGCTGCTGTATCTTTTGAGTATCTTTTCTCATTACCTAGAGCGTTGAGGGTAACCACCCGTTTGTTTGTCCCACTGGTGACGCGTCTCACACCTGGAGGGGCAGAAATGTCACATTCTACGTCGTGCTCCCTGTGGCTGCAGTCAAGAACACAGCTGGGGGTCTCTTGGTGGTCAGTCGCGACATGGCCGGTGTCTCTCTGGCTCCCCTCTTGGTCAGTATAGCCAGCTGGAGTAGGATCACTAGCAGGATCATTCACGTTTATGTTGTCAGGTGGAAGGGGTTCACTAGCAGGATCATTCGCGTTTATGGAGTCAGGTGGAACAGGATCACTGGCAGGATTACTAGTGTCTTTGTTGTCAACCTCTTCGTCAGTGTAAGTATATAAATCCTGGCTGGTTTTTCGAGTAAATGTCCTTTCGATAGTTTCTTGTTTACCATCGGCATGTAGGCTTGATCCAGGACTTTTGCTACTCTGGCTTTGTCCGGAGTCTGCACTGCTGGTATCAAACATACTAGGGGCCTGACTGGCTCTCCTAGCATCAAGACCAGTGAAGATTACACTGTGTCTTCGACTCATACTCATACGACTGGCGCAGACGCTGCCTGAGGAAGAAGACACCAACTTCACTGAGTAAAAGGGAATACATAGCAGGGTTGCCGAAGCTGGTACTTTTGTGAAAATTTAGTACTATTTTTCCTTTGCCAAGCACAGCTGTACTCTTGGTACCACTCGGTTCCTCCCCTCTAAGGCAGATGCACTCCGACTTCGAAAGAAACACTTGTTGGGAGGCAGTAGGTCTATTCTCTCCCCACCCCCTCCAACCCCCCAACTGGACCCATGAATCAGTAAGGGGAGTGAAAGTTGATGACGCTGCTGATGTTGATGACGCTGCTGATGTTGATGACGCTGATAATGTTGATGACGCTGATAATGTTGATGATGTTGATAATGTTGATGACGCTGATAATGTTGATGACGCTGCTAATGTTGATGACGCTGGTGATGTTGATGACGCTGATAATGTTGATGAGGCTGATAATGTTGATGACGCTGATAATGTTGATGACGCCGATACTGTTGATGATGTTGATGACGCTGACGATGTTGATGACGCTGATAATGTTGATGACGCTGCTGATGTTGATGACGCTGGTGATGTTGATGACGCTGATAATGTTGATGATGTTGATGACGCTGACGATGTTGATGACGCTGGTTATGTTGATGACGCTGATGACGATGTCGGTGATGCTGCTCACGTTGAGGACGACGACAGACAAGGACTAGTGGCGGTACCTGGATCGTGCGAATGGCCGTGGTGGAAAACAACCATCCCTATGACGTTGACGATAAAGCCGGCGACAGCGACCGCGAACAGACGCTCAGGCCGTACTACAGGCGGGTCCAGTGCTCTCTGAAACAAGGACAACGATTCCACACGAAAGGAGTTACAAAGTAAAAATAAAGGATTCTTTTCCACTCCTTCGGGTGTACTGGGCATATCTCTTTCAGGTTCAAAAGGTTTGACAGAAGAAACTCAAGAAGGAGCGGGGAATTCTTCTTCTTCTTTTCTTCCACCTTGTACCTCATCGAAGTGTCAGGGGGAGATGTAATGTTCGTTGATGAGCTCTGTCAAGAGCACTATTAAGACTGATGTTCATTTCTGTAAGGCTGTTCTTAATGCTATCACTCCATGGAGCGGGGAATAACCATTTTAAAGCCATGAGTGCATCAGTTTTCTGTTGTCTTTACAGCTGCCTTGTAAAAACAGGCAGTCATGTTAGATCGTTGGTGAAATTGTACTTCAGTTATAAAGGATTCACTTATTTGCTTCATTTATGTCATTGTTACTGAAGTATGCACCTAACGAGTTACAGCGAAATATGCCAGGCATTTCATTGTGCAATCTATTGTTTATGTCTTCTTTGTTCAAATTTACAACGGGGAAACATTGCTTTGATTTTTACATAGACTAACTCTGCAGCGGAAGTGGCCAGATGTTTTCGTATGCTGCAACCAGACGTAAATTGACATAAAACGCAAAGGTTGGGATTCCTGCTGGCATGCGCCAAGAGGTCATCACACACCACGCTTTACTTGTGTGACTGAGAGAGTTATGGTGATAGACCTTTTTTTTAATAGACCAATCGATGATCGGAGGGTGATGTGGTCAACGTCATGCCGGCCGTCTTAACTTCCCAGGTCTTTAGCTGGTACCCATTTAAAGCTGGGTCAACTCCTGAACCCACGACCTTCGGATCGGCAACGGAGGGTCAAGCCGCTCCACCACGGCAGCGCTTCACATAACTGGGGTGGAACTCCCGATGCTTCTCTCAGCTGTTACTTCACTAGTTACTTCTGGACGTTCTTCTTCTTGTTTGTCTCTGACAGGACGGTTGGGATATTGTATTGTGGTTTACAGCTAAGCTGCGATATCGGGTTAGGATTTCGGCAAATCCTAAATTAGTCGCCTTTCACCACATGTGTGTTAAAATGCTAGGGTCTATCCCCCTCACCCTAGTGTATTGTAGTTTACAGCCAGACTGTGATGTTTATGATTTTAGCACACCCTGAATTAGTCACTATTTACTACATGTTTGTGAAAAGACGAGGGCCTACCCCCCCCCCCCCCACCCACCCCACCCTTATCCCTCTGCCGTGGTTGTATTGCGGTTTACAGCTACGCTACGATAGTTGTGTCTTTCAGCCCAACACAGCTGATTTATGACCCAGTGCTGGTGCACTTACAATGACGGTAATATGTTCCACTGCTGGTGCACTTACAATGACGGTTATATGTTCCACTGATGGTGCACTTACAATGACGGTTATATGTCCCACTGTTGGTGCAGTTACAATAATGATAATATGTTCCCCTGCTGGTGCATTTACAATGACTGTATTATGTTACACTGCTAGTGCCCTTACAATGACGGTAATATGACCCACTGCTGGTGCACTTACAATTACGGTAATATGACCCACTGGTGGTGCACTTACAATGACTGTATTATGACTCGGTGCTGGTCACTTACTTGGACAGTGATATGACCCAGTGCTGGTGCACTTAAAATGACGGTAATATGTTTCACTGCTGGTGCACTTACAATAACTGTATTATGTTTCACTGCTGATGCACTTACAATAACGGTATTATGTTTCACTGCTGGTGCACTTACAATGACGGTAATATGACCAACTGCTGGTGCACTTACAATGACTGTATTATGTTTCACTGCTGGTGCACTTACAATAACTGTATTATGTTTCACTGCTGGTGCACTTACAATAACGGTATTATGTTTCACTGCTGGTACACTTACAATGACGGTAATATGACCAACTGCTGGTACACTTACAATGACGGTAATATTACCAACTGCTGGTGCACTTACAATGACTGTATTATGTTTCACTGCTGGTGCACTTACAATAACTGTATTATGTTTCACTGCTGGTGCACTTACAATAACGGTATTATGTTTCACTGCTGGTGCACTTACAATGACGGTAATATGACCAACTGCTGGTACACTTACAATGACTGTATTATGTTTCACTGCTGGTGCACTTACAATAACTGTATTATGTTTCACTGCTGGTGCACTTACAATAACGGTATTATGTTTCACTGCTGGTGCACTTACAATGACGGTAATATGACCAACTGCTGGTACACTTACAATGACGGTAATATGACCAACTGCTGGTGCACTTACAATGACGGTAATATGACCAACTGCTGGTGCCCTTACAATGACGATAATATGTTCCACTGCTGGTGCACTTACAATGACGGTAATATGTTCCAATGTTGGTGCACTTACAATGACGGTAATATGACCAACTGCTGGTACACTTACAATGACTGTATTATGTTTCACTGCTGGTGCACTTACAATAACTGTATTATGTTTCACTGCTGGTGCACTTACAATAACGGTATTATGTTTCACTGCTGGTGCACTTACAATGACGGTAATATGACCAACTGCTGGTACACTTACAATGACGGTAATATGACCAACTGCTGGTGCACTTACAATGACGGTAATATGACCAACTGCTGGTGCCCTTACAATGACGATAATATGTTCCACTGCTGGTGCACTTACAATGACGGTAGTATGTTCCAATGTTGGTGCACTTACAATGACGGTAATATGACCAACTGCTGGTGCACTTACATTGACTGTATTATGTTTCACTGCTGATGCACTTACAATACCGGTATTATGACCAACTGCTGGTGCACTTACAATACCGGTAAATGACCAACTGCTGGTGCACTTACAATGTCGGTAATGTGACCCAGTGCACTTACCTTGACAGCCTCCGAGAAGATGAAGAATCCAACAAACAGGAGACAGATACCATTGACAAAACCAGCCAAGATTTCAGCTCGCACATATCTAAGGAAAACAAAACAACAACGATGTGGTCACTGGGCTAATGGCACGAACCCTTCAAATAGTCCCGTGTCAGACCGAAATGAAATTCTTACACATCATACAAGGTGCAACAAGGAAAGATCGATTTAGGAACAATGCAGATTCGGCACAGAACCAGTGCTGAAATGTATCAGTAGACTACAGAACAGAGGAAAGGCAAGACGGCCGTACAACCAGATTATGACTAATACCATTAGTATTGGAACTCTGCGCTGGCTTCTAAGGATGAGGAGGGAGCGCGTATGGGAATTCCTCTGGTGCTGTGATGTCAATTCTTGACTCAACTCAACATACATATCAAATAGTTTGGCCATGTAATAAGACTGACAACATACAGGGCATTACAGAGAGCCATGTTATGCAGATACAGCGCTAACTGATGCAGAGGTCGACCACGCAGGACATGGACCGCGGAAATGTAGTAGATACTGAAAAGTATTTTATACGAAGTGAACAGAACAGCACGGTCCAGAGATCTCTTCCTGTCCTGCCTGACGCTGCAAAGCATTCCAGGAGTTGAGAAAATAAGAAGGAGAAGAAGAAGAAGAAGAAGAAGAAGAAGAAGAAGAAGAAGAAGAAGAAGAAGAAGAAGAAGAAGAAGAAGAAGAAGAAGAAGACGAAGAAGAAGAAGAAGAAGAAGAAGAAGAAGAAGAAGAAGAAGAAGATAGCGACGTTCCGCAAAGGACCACTACATGATGATGATGATGATGATGACAATGACTTATGACTACACCATATTGGTTTTTTCTTAAACCGTTATTATTGCCTGCATTTAATGCTTTTGCTGTGTAGTCAAAAGTTGTAGATGGTGATGATGATGGTGAAGAAGAAGAAGAAGATCATGATGATTATGATGATGTAAAGAAGAGCCTGAGGGTTTAGGGCTGCATGACTAGTGCTGTCGCCACGGCCTGTGCAGGCAAAGATTTTGTTTTTGCCTCCGACAAAACAAAAACAAACCCCCCCTCCCTCCCCCCCAAAAAAGGGGAGGGGGGATTTGATTTGATTTGATTCAAGAACCGACATCACAGCACTCGGTGCATTCCTATGAGCGCTCCGTCCCCATCTTCAGCAGCCAGCGAAGAGTTCCGATACTAATGGTGCCAGTAGCATTCTGACTGAACGTCCATCTTGCCTTTCCTCTGAGCCTCGAGCATCTGCCAGAACCTCTCGTCACTCCCCCTTGCATCAATCTCACCAGACTGTAGTGATCCATCTGCTCCTCCAAACTGTACACGCTCTCCCACAAGGCACTAACCACGTCTGCCTTATCGTGTATCACTATTCCCCCAAGTTGTGCAGAGCCAGCGAGTCTGTCCGCCTGTTCATTTCCCAACACACCGGCGTGCCCCGGTGAAAAAATCCAGACAATATTCCTCACCCGTGTCCTCAGCAGCGAAGCATGCCACTCTTTACAAAGCATGCCACTCTTCACAAAGCCTGCCTGTTCTGATCTTCCTCAGCATGCTTTCTGAGTCAGTTACAATCACGAGTGTGTGTGTGTGTGTGTGTGTGTGTGTGTGTGTGTGTGTGTGTGTGTGTGTGTCGTGTTCTCTAGCCAGCGGAAAGCTGCAGTGACCGCCTCCACCTCCATCCTTAAGCTGGATGTTGTGTTATCATATGCTAGGCTCTCCTGCACCAAACGTCGACCATTAACTTTTGCTAAGAAGCCCCAAGCAATTCTTTTGCCTCTTGACACTAAACCGTCTGTGTAAATGATCAAATTCTCTGAGCGAGCATTATCTTGAATTAATTGCTGAATTTCCACCCCGTGGCACCTGCTGGCCAGTCTCTGCATTCCCGGCTCAGCGTGATTATGACTCTACACAAGTCTGACTGCTCAGTTGGCACTTTGACCCACTCCTCTCCTCGCCTAATGTTCTCAAGGATGCAAACCTGACTGATTGTGTCTTCTGTCTAAGCCATCCATGACCCCCCTCTTATCAGCCGCTGACCCTTAACTGCACCCAGAGCTTCATGCAAAGGGTGGTCTGTGTCTGCAGCTACCCTGAGATATGACATCGCCTGCAGCACCTTGTACCTACCTGCAATCGTCGGCAAACCAAGGATGTATCCCATACACACCACTGGTGCAACCCAGAATGACCCGCATAGCTGAGTTCTGTATGCGCTCTAGTTTGTCCATCTGACTCTTTGAGACGGTAAGCAGTCCCAGGCCATAATCAACCACTGACAGGATCAGGTGCTGATATAGTGTGAAAAGCATTTTCTGCTCTATGTCAATTGCAGCCATAGTCTTAAGTGCACTAAGTCCTTTTTTGGCATCTCGTCATAACACTCTCCACATGGTCCTTAAAGGACAGGCTCCTGTCAAATGTAATTCCTAGATACTTCAGTGTGCTTTCTACCATCTATCGTGAGTTTTGTGAAATTAGCTTTAACGATTCTGTTGTCCAGAGAACACCACAAAACAGACGCCTTTTCCGGGTGGACGACAGCCCTCATTGCTGTACACCACTCAGTCACTTTGTCTACTGTCGCTTGTAGCTCCCGAGCTGTTTGTTCCCTCTCTTCCCCCTGCCTATATGCAAGTATATCATCCGCAAAAGTCAATAACCTTCCAACTCCTGGTGCTTTTAGGCTTGCAATCTTGCTCGTATACACATTAAAGAGCACAGGCGAGATGGCAGATTCCTGTGGGAGTCCTGGGGCCAAAGTGCATGGTTCTTATGAGCCCAGTCGGAGAGCAACCCGACGTGAATACAGGACAGCTGCAACCCAATTCACCAGCCATGGACTGACCTCCTTCTCCTTCAGTGCCGTCATTAAGATGTCGTATCTCACTCTGTTATAAGCATCCTCGAGATCCGAGGGGGGACGGGGGGAGGGGGGGGGGGTAATCCCCAAACTTACTGAGAATGAACCCTATTCTCTCGCATGACAGCCCTGCCTTCTTAACGGTTAGACCAGCTGCTCCACGGCTTACACTGGCAAAGCAACTTACCCAAACGAGAACAATTCATTGGCCTCCCACTGTGAAATGATCGAGGCAACAAGGCCACCCAGAAGAGCTGAGCAGTCAAAGAACATGTGGAAGGAGTCCGAGATCAACCCCAGGCTGTTCGCCCAGATGCCATAGGCCAGTTCCACGAACGCAAACGTCAGGTTTAGTGCCAGGAACCACAACAGCTGGTAGGATGTTTTGTCGTCAACTATTGTTCTGGGGAATATGCACGATATCAATGCTGAAATCAGGGTACCACAGAGAGCAACAACACGAAAGAGACAAACACTGTTCTTTGGCCTCATAATGAGAAGAGGGATATTAAAGAACATCGGAAAGATCAGTGGGAAAAGGGGTAGAGGCAGACCAAGAGAGATGATGCTAGATGGGCTGAAACGATGTCATGGAGGGATATCATCAAGAGAGCAGTTCCAGGCAACCAGGGATCGTGATCAGGGAGACGCATGACTGCCTACTCCAGTTGGCAGGGCACATGATGATGAGGATGATGATGACAGATAGCAGTGTTATATAGACACAGCAGTAACGGAGCCAGAGGTCGACCATGCAGAACCTGGACCGCAGAAATATCAGAGACACTGAAAAGTACTTTATATGAAGCGAACAGAAGGGCCCGTTCCAGAGATCTCTTCCTGCTCTGACGCTGCGAGGCATTCCAACAGTAGAGAAAGTGGCAGGAGGGCGAAGCATTCCAACAGTAGAGAAAGTGGCAGGAGGGCGAAGCATTCCAACAGTAGAGAAAGTGGCAGGAGGGCGAAGCATTCCAACAGTAGAGAAAGTGGCAGGAGGGCGAAGCATTCCAACAGTAGAGAAAGCAGTGTGGGAGGAGGGCGAGAGGCTTCTTCGTGGCCTCGTTCCATTTGTTTTGCTTCTGTTTCTTCTTCGCGCTCACCGGCTGTAAACTCCGGCGGAAAGTTCTGTTTGTTCGTCCACATTTAGGCGTTAGTCTTGTTCCACAACTTGAGTTTTGGTTTTGCGTGCAGATCCGTTTTACGACTGTTTTTTTCTGGATTTAGACTTGATGAGGCTCGAAGTCAGTCGTCTCCAATATGGATGAGAGAGGGGTTGGGGAGTGGGATGAGGAGGTTTCGGAAGGGGGAGGGGTGGACAATTCTGGTTGTTCGTCCCCTTCTGGACTTTAGTCTTGTTCCAGAAATTGAGTTTTGCATTTACATCCGTTTTACAAATTTGACTCTGTT